TGCTGAGGTAGGCCTGATACATTAGGGATCTTGCCCAATATACTGCGTACAGCCTGAATCCACCATTGTCCTGAAGTGTACCCCCTTAAATCCTTACCGGAACACTGTATGTCCCTCCTGGACTGGGAGGGGGTTGGTGGTGGCCTCTCCGGAACCTGGTCCCTGCTGTGGACAGCCAGATGAGCCTCCATTAGGGTCCTGGTCGGGAGCCCCTCCACAAACTACTCCAATACCATCTGCTCCAGCATCTGTAGCCACCTGGAAGCAGCGTCTTTTTCAGCTGCTGAGCATAGACGAAGGGACGGTCAGTGGGTCCCACTGTGGTGTTCCGGAACCGGCAACAGTGATCCTTGGGGGAGAAACCCATCTGATCAAGGTTAACTCTCTGTTTCAGAATTCCTCCCGAGAAGAAGCTGGTAGGCTGAGCGGCGCAGTCTGGTCTTTCCCTGACATTAAGGGGAGCAGACACACGGCCCATTCCGCTGCCAGCCAGCCACATATAAATAAGATGCGCCAACAAAAAGAGTACCAATAAAAAGTACCAAAAAAACCTTTGTGGAGGATGTGTAATTCAGTTGATGTTAAGACTTTTTTCTGTGTCCTGCTGTTTTGCAGCGTTTTGGCATTTGCGACTTGTGGCCACAGTAGCTGCTGTTCAGCAAATGTTTTTGTACAGTTACTAGTTAATCCTGTACCAATGACGAGCACAGTTCTGTCTGTGAACATTGAGCCTGCCAGTGCATCTGCTTCTAAATGACACATTTAAAATAATAATATATTAATAATAATATAATCACTGAAACAGGTTTATCAAAAGTCTAAAGGTCACAATAACCGGGCGCCCGGTTAGCTCAGTGGGTAGAGCTGGCGACCCATGTACTGAGGCGGCAGCAAGGACTCAGCCTTTTAAAAAAAAAAAAAAAAGGTCACAATAACCACACTTTTCCTGGCACTTCCTGATTAGCCTAATCTTAATGGTACTTGAGGACTGGAAGAAAAGCAAACACAGAGAAGATTAATGGACTTTGTGTTTGTCCTTTTCTTTCTTGTTCCTTACCTTAGTCTGTAAAAGTATGTGTTTATTGAGTATGATTCATTTAACCTAGTTCAACAACTGTTCTTTATGCATGTAGGTTTTTTACTGTTAACAATAAAAGCCCTCACTGACATTTCACTGAATGTGTGTCCTCTACAACGCAGTACATCTGAAACCTTTAAAGTCCTCCTCCAGTCAGAAACCTGTGTTTCTTCCTGTCTCTACAGTGTGCTGTTTGAATGCTGTATGTACAGAGTTTGACATTACATAGTTTTCACATTCATCTGCTGAAAGTGGAAAGTTTCTCTGTTCACCCTCTACACCAGGACTGGTTTGAATTAAACCTAACTTAAATTATTTATCTTGAATTGCACATGTACAGTTTAGTTTTTTTATTCAAGCTACTTAAAATATTTTGCACACCATTGTACTGTACATTGCATATGGTGTATACATTTTTCATTTATAGTTTTATATTTTGTAATATATTTTGTAATATTCTTTGTGATACTATTGTATGTACACTGTACACAAAAAATCTGATTTTAAAAGGCAGGGCCTACCAGGATGATAACAACCAATCAGTTGATTGTTGAGTCTCATTCCCAGGTTGTCAAATATTGAGATATGAGACTTAATAATTAACTATCTTTAAGCCACCAACCCAAAGTATCTTTCCATCTTTCTCGGCTCGAACTGGTTGCTTTTGTTTGGGTTCAGTGGATTCTTCTTCTTCTTATTATTATTTCAGACCAATGGGGGTGTACAGCAGGACGATGCTGCCCCATCCTCTGCAGCTGAAGCCCGACCAGCATCTCAGAACCTCCCTGTCACTGAAGGCGAGAGAACTGCCAGCCAAAACCAGGACTTGCAGGCAGCTGTGGTTGGATCCATCGGTCAACCCGATGAAGAAAAACGAGCTAATCAAGCTACTGGGAAAGTCAGGCCACTGAGCCATTGCTCTGCAGCTGGAAGGGGGAATAGTAGCAGGCCGGATACTGGCAAGGGGAGACCAGTGAGCAATGTGGCGGAGAAAGTAGCCAGCCAAAGAGCATCATCATCCACCAAACAAACACACAGAGATGCACAACAAGACCAGTGAATTTCTTCATTGAATTTTTAGTGGATGAAAAAAAAAAAAAGACGAAAATAATAAATATAAATAAATACAAACTAAACTGAAAATAAACTGTACCAGTTTTGACTTATTGTGGCATGGCTAAGTGTACTGAGGTAGACTAACTCATTAATCATGGTCAGCAGTGAAAAAAATGTAGAAAGGTTTTCTTGAAATATCTGTTTGTCATAGATGTTTGTTTCTTTTTCCAAACCCCTCTTTTTCTACCTCTTTTGTGGTTACTTTTTCTCTTGTCCCTCCGGAGTGGCTTATTTGGAGTGACCGCAGGTTCTTAAAAAGTCTAAAATCCAATCATCTGAAATGTAGGCCTTTAGATGTCTTAAATGTGATTTTGACAGACTATTGAACTTAATGTTTCTTGTATAAAAGTTGTATTTTCCAGTCTTGCTTTTAAATGTGTCCTTGGCAGCCCCTCCAGGAGGATCAATTAACACAAATTTAACCAATTTACATGGTAAATGGTAAATGTACCTCTACAGCGCCTTTCTAGTCTTCCGCCACTCAAAGCACTTTTACACTACGTGCCACATTCACCCTTCACACAATTCACTCAGCGGGATGGCCATCGGAACATTAAACTAACTCATTCGATACACATTCACACCCGCAATTTGGGTTCCAGTATCTTGCTCAAGGATATACTTCGACACGGGCAGGAGGAGCCCGGGAGGCGATCAAACCAACAACCTTCTGATCTGGGGAACGACCGCTCTGCCACTGAGCCACAGCCACCCCTACATGAATTCTGCACAACCTTGCAATTGTATCCAGTCACTGCAACTTTTCCGCAAATTTGACCAATCATTATAGTTTCCTTTGCAAAACAAGACAAGATAGCCATTCAAGAAGCCTTCTCGGTTACATGAAACACTCCCTACAGTGAGATTTTATTCTCACTGGAACAAGTTGCCCTACATTTTTAATGAATTATAGAAAAAAAGTTTCACTTTCTCTCACAATGTAATTGCAAAAAATGCCTAAAACATCAAAAAAAATCTTCGGAGAATTCAGGCATTAAAGGCAATACCAAAAAAAAAACAAGAATCCTAAAGAGAGACTGTTTTGGGAAAATTGTGTATTGCTCATTATCTGAACTTTAGGTATTGAAATGTCTTATGATTGATGATTACCGGTTGGATTAATAAAGTTAGCATTACTTGTATAAAGTTGTACTTCTGGTCTCGCTTTTAACTGTTTTGGGCAAACCCAAGAAGTTACAATCGCAACCAATCCCTGTGAATTCTGCGCTACCTTGCAATTTTATCCAATCACTGCAACTTTTCTGCAAATTTTTGGTCTGACCAATCATTGTAGTTTCACTAAACTCACATCCTTGTTTCTAGTTGTGAAGCTGCAGAGCATGCAGACATGTGTGATGCGAACACATTTACCATCATTATCCTGACTCTTTTTTTGATAAGGTTACTTGAAACAATACTTCATTTTATTCCCACAAGTTGTCTTTGATTTTTAATGAATCATACAAACAAACAAAAAAACACAAACTATATACATATATATTTTTACTTTTTCTGCTTAGAAGAAGAAGAAAAGCTTATGGAGATTGTTGTGGCCTAAAATGGCAATCTCCAAAACACTCATCATACGGTTTTGGGACAATTTTGTTCTGACCATGCTGTAACAACTAACGAAACTGACATGGAAATAGGTCTAAAATTGCATTCATAACTGCCTAAAAAGTCTTATTGTTCTGTGAACTCAACAAAGTAATGATACGATGCCATTAACTGGAATTACCGCCTCACGTTTGTTTGCCTCTGCCAACCAGTCAAGGTGCAGTTTACATCCATACCTGTCCTGACTCATAATATATGTAGTGAATACTTGTAAGGAATTAAATAAATAAATATAAAAAAATAAAAATAAAAGTTGGTGCAACAACAGGCCCCCTGTCCTGGTTACCACCCAGGGAGAGTTAATTAACCATGTGGTCCAAATCAATAAAAACTGGACTAGACTCACTACACTGAAGCCCTTTTCAGGAAGGGACAGACCCGGATACTTCACTGTGTTCATCAGGCAGATCTTCGATCAGTCTGTAGGGGACAGTGTTCTGTTCTTCGCGCTGATCTGCTGACATCGAGGTTTGCCGGTTAGCACTTTCCAAGAAAGAGTTGCCAGGTGATCAGGTTGGACACAAATGCAGTATCTGTGAAATATGGCCATAATCTGCCCTAACGGAAAGATAAGGATTTTTGCAGAACATTATGCTAATCACAGTGAAGTTGACTTTTAACCTTGGATATAAAATGTCATAATTTTATCCTATTAAACATCTGTGTGATATTTTGTCATAATTAACTTATGAATCCCTCAGTTATGGCCTAAAACACATGACCTGAATGGGGGACAAGCCAAAAACATAATGCCACAGTTGTTACCGGCACGTAGGCAAAAAAATTGCAAAAGAATAAGCAGTTGTTCTCTCCTCTGTGGAAACACAAGTTTACCATAGAGTGGTTTGTCAGTGGTTTGATTTGGCGGCCTTTCAAATTCTAGGAGAGACTTTGCAACATTGTACAGCATGATGGGCAGTATATATATATATAGACAAGAATCTGAGAAATACAGGAGAACACATTGATGAAAAATGGGAAAATTAAACGTGCTTCTCCTCCAGGAACACAGACTACAAAAGGACCAGTGTGTGGGACAGTGGTTCCAACCTGACTGGTTCCCAAACTGGGGGGGGGGGACCCTTCACAACCATACATGCTCCCATTATGTGTGTAATAATATTGTAATTTACAATCAAAGTAATGGCATGAACAAAGTCATGAACACTGTAAGGCTCTAGGTGTGGTCAGACTAACGTGTTTATTCAGAATCAGATTAAGGACATTGTGTCTTCCATACTATGAGAAATAAACCACAGCACAATCCTCTGCAACACAGAGTGGCTCCTGTCTCCATGACTCATGAGCACATGAATTATTGCCTCCTCTACCTCAACACTGAAACACAGTGAACAACACAAATAACCACCTCTTGTGTGTCCTGTGTCTGATACATAATGCATTTATTTAGGTGCATAAAAATATATAACACATTGAGTTGTTTGGTTATACTGTAGCTGATTTAAACGTATCATTGCAAAACTGTTATTTAATATGTTGAAGAGAAATTAAATTAAAATTATCACAGAGCATGATCAAACATTCTTCATATATTCTTTCTTCATATTGACGATGTGTGGAAGGGCTTGTAACATAAATAAACTAGACTTTCCCCAACTGTCTCAGTTGCATGTGGACTGTTTTTTAGGCATTTCTGTGAAAATACAAAGGTTTCAAAGCAACAGCTAAAATTAGCTTATAAATTTTGTCCGCTTACCACACAACAAGTCAAAAGTCATAGCTATTGTTGTTGCTTCAAAGCTAACACGTGCAAATTGCTGTCTAGCCAATGTAACAAAATACTGTCAGCTCGTTTTCTCCAGACTCCCGGTTAATAATAATAATAATCTTACTCAGTGTGGTTGGCTTGCTCGCTAACGATAACGCTAGCAAAATACTATTTGAGTGGAT